ATCAAAACAATTACAATGTGAAAGAAGGTAAACACAGAGGAACAGAGATCCAGGTGGTGAGAAGGTCAGGTAGATTACAGGATGGATACAATAGACTGTCTTAAATGGAGGGAAGAGTTAATGGAATATAAGGTAACCACAACAGTGGGGTTGGGGTCGGGGGTGAGGGGTTAGTTCAGGTGTTGGGGAGGGCAATACAAAGGGGAGGAGCTGGAAGAACAATATAGATAGGGGAACACTGAGACAGGTTAGCATGGCCTAAGTGGGACAGAGGTAAATAGTGATGCATGCTCAACCTTGGAACAGTAGGGCTCTGGGATATAGGGATCTAGGCATAGCTTGAAGAGGGGAAATAATATTAAAATGCTTGACTGTCTTATGAATATTGGTTTCCCTTGCCTACTATTGTAAAATAGACACTTGAGTGGTATAGAAAGGAATGTTGGGAAACATGATTAGAGAAAACTTGTAAGCTCGTCTTCTGCCTATAACTGATTAGAATACCGAAAAGGGGTTCTAGAACTTGCCCAGTGAAATAGGCCTCTTGCAAAGCCTTTGCAGAGCATACAACCTAAGGTGGAATCCTGAGTCCCATCCAGAACCTTATGAGGAGGGACATTCCCACTAGAAAAAACAAGTAGACCAGCCTGGAACAGCTAGAGCGACAGAAGATACATCTTCAAAGAAAGATCATCAGGAAAAACCCAAAACAAAAATGTCAGCATGACATTTCACCAGGAAGCAATCAAAGCAAGCAATCAAGTTCCTTCAGGACAAACTCTCCTCTAAGACTGAAACTCAAAGTGAACACAAAAACAAGCATGTAAGCTTGCTGGCGACTACATTGGTCTGCTGGTGAGTGGAAGAGGGGGAAGGGCAGCAATGAAGAAATGGGCTGAGTTCAACCACAGTCCATTGAATCCCACTGATCTGGAGATGGGAGAGAGAAGAAGGGCTTGTTGGTCCAACGTGTGATGAGACCTGAGGACAATAGAGCCCATGGACAAGGACA